TTAGTATAATTTTTTAAGAACAAGACATACTCATTGAACTTCGGATATTATGCAAATGAAACCATTTAGTTTCATATAACTATTGAAACAGTTTAGTTTCAGTTCAACTTCAATTCCACGTTTTTTTTTTTCAAAGAACAAAGTTCACATTGATAATCGCGATTGATATTTAGATGTACATATTGAATTTTGAAAGATGTACATTCTATTAGGGCTTAGCTGGAATGTAATATACTTTACAGTAAATGACATTTTTCCTATCGTTTAACTACGGAAAATTTACATCAATTCCTACTTTTTAACTTTGAATTTAAAAAATAACGTATCAATCTTTTTCTTTTTCTTTTTTAATCAAAAATCAAGTGTATCCATCTCACCCTTCTTCCTCTACCAAGCCCTCACCAGTCACCACTGGAACAATATAATCAAAGAAGCTGAAAATGAAAGCAGCCATATTGAGCTCCCTTATCGGGAGGAGCTCTATAGTTGCTCCATCATAGTCGCATGTATTGCAAAGTAGCATTTTGTTGGAGAGTCACCATTCCAGGAGTCATCATTGGATTAATCAACCGCTATATCTACTCATGAAGCTAAACTCACTTGTCTCTAAGTTGGTCCTACTACTAAAAAATGCAAATAATAATCATCACATTTTTTATATAAAACGTGTCGCCCTTTGTGGTGGGTTTTTTTTGGTTTATTTTATTTTTTTAGGTGGTGGCAATAGCAACGTTGGACTTGAGTGGAGTGACGGGGTGAGATGAAGCGTGATTGTGACCAATTAATTGGAATTATGATTAATAAATAATTTGTGATTTATTAAATATGTAATTTGTGACTAAAATAGATAATCGTAAGTCACAAATTGTGTCATTGACATTGTGACCAGGGGCGGATCTAGGGACGGGCTGGCCAGTGCTACAGTCCGTCCCTTCCAACCCAAATGCTGAAGAAAAAAAAAATTATGTGTGAATTTTTTCTCTTTGGGTATTAGATTTCTGGATCCGCCAATTTGTAATTAGCACGTGATTGTGATTATAAATTATGTGTTATTATGATCATAATATATTTAATTAAATTATAAATCATTATATTTTATCAGACATTACCAATATGCCACCTTATTTTTAAATTTTTTTCACAATTTATTATTTTTAAAATGGTATTTTAAAGCCTTATAATTTTTCCCTTAGCAATCTAGGGACAGGCTGGCCAGTGCTACAGCCTGTCCCTTCTAGCCCAAATGCTGAAGAAAAAAAAATGAGAAAATTACATATAACCATACAATTAAACATTAGTTTTTATAAATAAGGGGGTTAAGTTTAAAATTCAGATTTCAGGTGGTAAATAAGATAATTAATTGTAATTAATAAAAAAATGAAACGTAATCTAAATATTCATCCCCCCACCACACCACACCACACCCTACCCTTACCCTGATTCATCCCAAACCCAATTCATTTCAAACCCCAAAGTTTCTTAACATCTTCCTTCTTCTCTCGAGTTAATTAAATCACTGCTCACTCACATTTGGGCATGGTTACTACTTGCTCACTCAAGAATAAAAGGTAATTGACTGTTCACTCATTTTTTTATAAAGTTATCCATCCATCACTCCATCCATCCACTTAGACAAAAAATTACAGGTGGCGGATGGAAATCCTACGTGGCCATTAATGGTGTTAAAAATTGACTCATGGACAAAAGGTTCAAAATCCTTTATTTTACACCGCAAAGTGGTGTTGAAAGAGGATACAGAAGAAGCACAAAAAATACACCTACTCTCTCACGCACAAACACCCTCACAACTGTGTGTTAAAATAGAGATAAATATATAGAAATAGGGAGAATTGCAGGCTTTAATTTCATTTCGAATTCATTTTATTTTCGTTTCCCACTATTTCTTTCTTTAATTTCTGCATACCGATATAGATCTTGCTGTTTGGTATATGTGTATGTATAATATGAACATATATGAAATAAAATTATTGGAAAATGCCGGGCATAAAATTATTGCGGTTTGGTATATATTTTTTGGTTTAAATTTCTAGAGATTATTGGAAAATGCCGGGCCACGGGGATTTGGATAGGCAAATAGAGCAATTGATGGAGTGCAAGCCGTTGTCAGAGGTGGAGGTGAAAACTCTGTACGATCAGGCGCGGGCGATTCTGGTGGAGGAATGGAATGTGCAGCCGGTGAAATGCCCCGTTACTGTCTGCGGTGACAATCATGGCCAGTTCTATGATCTGATCGAGCTATTCAGAATAGGCGGCAACGCTCCTGACACCGATTACCTCTTCATGGGAGACTATGTCGGTGAGTTTCTCCTTGAATTATTGGGCGAAAAAGAGGTTTCCTGTTTTGTGTTTCAGTGCAGTACTGCTGCCAACCGCGCCACTGTTACTCGCTGTGCCACCTTCATAGTGGCGTCTTTTATGACCACCTAAGACCTGGTCAGTGGGGAAACGCCTGTGGCAAATTGAGCACTCATGGGTCCTTCTGCTGCTACCATTCGTGGTTGAGACAGTGCGTAGTGATTCCAAGCAGCGCACGATTTGAGAGAGCGACGTCGATTGTCACAGCTGCTGATATTGGGGGGTGATTTCGGACAATGTCAATTTGGTTGTTGGTAGTTGTTTGTGGGTGGTGATGATGGTGTTTATGCAACTAGAGATGACAATTGTGGTAGAAATGACTTCGAGGCTTTGGGCCTTTTCCGTTTTGGATGCTTTATCTCTACTGGGGTGGAGAAATCTGGTGGCGGTTTTGGTGGTGTTGATGGTGGTGTTGGTGGTTGTTTCTCCAAGGGCTCAGATGATACTGTGCTTGATTTGTATTCGTGGAAGTACAATCTAGGCAATGGTCTAGTTCGTTCTTATCAGAATGATTTTGGTACTCCCATTTTCTTATCATTCTTCTTTTCTAGTTTTGGTTTGCAAAAATATTTGACGTTTGACAAAAGAAGAGGCGATGACTGGTGATTGATTGTGGTGTTGGTTGCAGTGTAAACGGATTTTGTTTGTAGTGATCATTTGTCACCAAATGTGGTTGATTGTGACTGTTTGTGATCGATTGTGACTGTTTGTGACCGATTGTGATCGATTAATTGTGACTATTTGTGACCGGTTGTGATCGATTGTGACTTCAAATTCTGAAAAAAAAATTGGAAGTTGGGGAGTGGGTGGATGGTGTGGATAGGTTGATTGGAGCATGCGTTGGAGTGGTCATTGTAGTAGTTTGCCAGAGGGATGGTGAATAGCCGCCGGAGAGAGCGTCGGAATAGTCGTCGGAGCGGCAGCCGGAACTGTCACCGGAGCGGCCGCCGGAGCTGTCGTTGGAGTGATCGATTGTGACCGTTTGTGACTGATTAATTGTGACTCGTTGAGACCAATTGTGACCAA